AATTTCATTAAATCTGGTGCCTCGATCTCTTCTGCTAAATATAAAGATTTCAAACAATAGGATAAAAGTGATTTGGGTTGATCATCTCCATAAATATCAACAAATTGAATTTTATAAACAGGGGCTATCATATCCCAAGGATCAATAAATTCCACCTTTGCAATATTATCATCATCATTAACAATTGGTTTATGAGAAACTAAAACTACAATCACGTAATTAATTTTTGCAGTTGCTATGATTGTTGGTGAAGAAGTTGAAGTTGAAGTTGATGATGTTGGTGTTGATGTTGGTGTTGATGTTGGTGTCGACGTTGACGTTGTTGTAGGGAAAGATAATGGTTTCGTTGTTGATGATGGTAAAATAAAAACCATCTTTACTTTCCACAAGTTTGGAATGGGAGCATAGTATAATTGAAGGGCATCCAACTCACCCGGTATTGATTATTTAATATTATATTACTATTATTATTAACATAATAAAATGTAATATATTTATAAGATCCTATAAAAAAAATTTAAAAAAAGATGCATAAATCACGAAAGGCAGTTCCGCCAATCCCACCAATTCCACCATCAACTTACAACTTTGATAGGCCAATGATTCGGTTTGTCTCTGTGCCCATTGATAGGGTATCAATATGTGGACCAATTCAAGAATTTTTAAATCAACTTTATGATATAATGAATCCAAAACCTGTGGTTCCAACAAATCAAATTCTAATACCAGTTCATGAATTACAACTACCAAACATTCTAGAAAAATTTCCTTACATTACTATTCTAGATTCATCTTACTCGATCCAAGCCATCAGTCAAGTTTCTCTTAGAACAGTAGTTTTTCCAAAACTTTTGGGGTTTTCTTATAAACTATCTTTAGGAATTAAAGTCACTTCAGCTCTACGTACAATTTCACCTTGGACTACACATATTGGTGTAGGTCTTTGTAACGTGTTTGATAAATTGGAGATCGACCAAAATATATTAAAAATTTCCAAAGAAATTGCTAGTATTGTTTCAAACGAAAAAGACTTTGACGTTGCGAAACATTTAAGC